TCCGAGCCATGCACAACTCATATTCCCTTTGACATCTACATGAATCAAGTGGAGTGGCTATCTAATGGCCTGTGCCGGGGATCGCCCACAAGTCCACAAGCCACAAGCCACATGTCAAGTGGCTGTTTAAACTGCCACAAGCAGCAAGTGAGAAAATGGATGGATAAGATTTCTCAACTTTAGTTCGTGTGCGATATTGTAAAGGCAAGGCAGTATGGTAAGGTTTCGATATAACGAGCAGGGTCTTGACTATAACTTCTTCACGCACTCGCTGACCAGTCGTTTGCATGTCCTTTGAAAGAATAAAAACGTAAAACTCGGGTGATTATGAAAACTTGATGCTTTTCAAATGCTTTTGTTCTCTGCCTAGTAGCCTCTATTATTATTATATTTTTGTAATAATTCAGTCTATTGCCTAGATAAACGTTGAGCACATTTCAAAAAAATTACTCGAAGTAATGCCATTAGATATTGAAATTACAAAGCAAGTTGGATATTGGAAATGTTTAGTACATTCGGGTTTTAATAAAAAGAGGATATACATAGCGGGTCCTACTCGTATATGGAAATGAACTGTTTCAAAGAATTGTCGTATCACTTGAAGGGTTGGGATGATTATAACATCTCCCTACTCATCTAAAAATATATAAAATGTTAAAGAGTATTTTTCAACAAATAGATAGGACTTCTAATGATTCAAGTGTAAGTTAGAATTGTTGCTTGGTTGGAATGGTTAGTTGAGGCTTCGAGCCATCATTGTTACAAATATATTCACTCACTGCTCATTGCAGTCATTTCTGTGGTCCCGTTCAGGGAACTGTTTTGAATAGCTTTCTGTGATAAGAAGCACTCGAATGATTGAAAAAACTTGATTTCTATATCTATAGAGAAGAAGACTGCCTTCGTTTTTCGTAATGTATACTAACTAATATAGTTCAGTGTATTATTGATCTGAGAGCTCGCTTCATTTCGAGAGCTGAGGTGCCTCACTGGTCGCACTTGAAAGAAATGGGGCATACAGTAGGCACGCACACCCACTTATTGCTGACAATCAATCAGTCAGTCGATCGGTCCGTCGGTCCGTCGGTCGGTCGGTCGGTCGGTCGGCCAATCGTTCAGTTTGTTGAGCGCCGTTGTTGTAGCAGCTGCTGATTGGCGCACGGATTACCTAAAATGCGCCATAAAAGTTGCAACATCGACAAATTCATGCAATGATTAAAATTTGTTCTCTTGCTCATATATATTTGTTGATATCGCTTTATCGTGCTGCCACCTGCCAGCTAGTCTTATCACCTATGAGGAGTGGGGGTGTGTGGCGCAAGTGGTGTTGGGCCACCCACGACCCTCACCGAGCTCTACGCGATGTTAGTATTCAACATTCTCCCATTGATTGTCCAAGACGAAAGTCAGTTTGTTTTTTTGACGCGCCGTCGTTAGATGAAGTTTCCATTATACGAAAATTATATTATTGTCTAGATCGTAAATGTCGCGATTGTGCGCTAATTGAATCCATTAGGGCTCTAAAACACAGCACAACTCGGATATTTTTGTGAGACGCGCGCCCTCCAGCCGCCGCCACATCTCATTTTTTATGCTCATCCACATCTCCAATGGGCCTCTTTTCAAAATTCAGCTACACCTATAACACCATGTGGGCCAAGTGAGTCAATTGTTGTTGTTGTTTTTGCTGTTGTTCTTATGTGAGTGTCTATGTGTGCGTGTGAGCGGAAAATTGCAGTATTCGAGGCACCAGCATACATTTTGGATCATATTCCAATGTTGCCAAACAAATTATGTAAACAATGTGTCATGCCAACCCACAATTAGATGATAGTAACAATTAGCATGTGACTACTTACCGACTCTGGCGTGGCGAGCATTTGAATTGAAAGTTGGGGAAGTACGAAGGCTTCTTAAAAAAGTGATGCAGATGTGGAAAATTCGTCAATCAAGTCTACTCTCATAGTAGGAGAAAATAATATTGGAATAAAAACAAAACTCTTTCCAAGCACCACATCTCAGCGAGAAAGCCTCCACATTACTATAGCCTGCTATAGCTTTTTCAGCTCCGGCCAAGAAACTCTATAATCTAAAGAGGACACGAAACATTGAGAACAATTCTGCGCATGCTTTCAAAGTTTTAACTCACGTTATCATCCGAAACAGGCTAAACTCACTTATGCTCTTAGATGAGAATTCAAAGTCCAAAAAAGTAAAAGAATAGTTCTTTGGTTGTCGAACAGCTATTCATACTTAGCTTTAAAATTTGTCCACTGAAGAAATCAACCAAAAGTCTGATATTAGGGTGTTCTTTTCCTCTGCAGAAAATTTGATTTCATTTAGCCGCGGTATTTTATTTGTTCACTGTTTAAAAATGTCGGTCGGTTAGATGTGTAGATTAATAACTTAAGCGCTTTTGAAAAACGGTTGGCTTCTTTTACATCATATATGCCATAATTCTATTACTAAAAACGTTCCTGCTTATAAATGGTTGAGAGTGCAGTGCCTTACCATAATCTGAGAAGTTTGATCAGAATAGGTTGAATTAACGCTTAATATACTCAGGAGTTGAACGCTGAGGCTCCATGATAATACAACATAAGTACTATATACTTGTAGATTTGCTTTCATGATAAAAATGAGGTATTCTTTTTTTAAAGCGGCTTAGTGTTTTATCAAGTGATTTTGCTTTCCTTTATGGTGTGGGGTTATGGGTTTATGTTCTGTAGACTTTGTAAATCGTTGCAATAAGGCATGTCTTGAAACTCTATAACGGGCTATCGGGCATTGCTCCAGAAACTGAGCCGAACAATGGGCGCTGGCGTGTTTTGTGTTGTGTGCTGCGATGATGGCATGTTTAGAAGCCACCAAAACCGCCGAACCACCCATTCGAGGCACTTGTTAACCCATAGACTAAGTGTTCGTTGAATCACATTGAAGAGTGTATTATTTTTGCCGATTCTAATTTGTATTAATTGCTATTTCCTGTGGTTTAGTCATTTCTAGTTGTTGTTGTTGCCATCTCGCATTGCAAAATGGTCAATAATTTGTAAATTTCATTTAATTTAAAAGCAATTTGACACGGCTGCTGCTGTGTGTGGTTGTGTGGCTCTGTGGTTGTGTGGTTGTGTGTGGTGCTCTGTTCTGATCAATTTCAAACTCGGCCAAAGCGCCCCAAAAATCGCAAAAACTTATTAACGGCACATTTTTCGAACAAATTGTGGAAATTAGTCATTTCCGTGGCCGCGGAAAGAGGCGTTAATTGCACCCAAACCGTTGTCACTGTTGCAATGCCTCTCCACGTCCACGTCCACCTCTACCTCTACCCGATCCGCCGCTGCCCTGCCCTGCCACACCCCCTTGCGCTCGCTCTATAATTTGCGTTATTAATTAAGCCAAAGTTGTAGACCAATTTTCAAGTTGAAGGTCAAAAGTAAGCAGCGGTAAGCGCGCAAAAAGCTTACACAAAAACAACAACATAATACTACTATAATATTATAAAACGTAGCATAAATTATTAATTAGCAATTAGAATATTCGCTAAAATTGGTCATAGTTTCTGACAACGCATTAGAAATTGTTACGCCAAGGTTTGTGTTACTCTTCCGGTCAGTTTTTCTTCTATAACTTCAAGTTGATTTGTTTGTTAGAGTGTTGCAAAGTTTTCCGCGTATGCCTTGGCAGTTACTGATCAAAAACAAAAATAAATTGCGAAACTATAATAGTGACTTCAAAACTCTATTGTAATCGTTTACAATTAAATTTAATCTGCAGCCAAATAGCGAACAAAATCGCACACCTGTTGAACAGAGAACCTTTGGAACTACTTGTACTTATGTTGACAAGAGTATAGAATCTTCGGCGCTCTGAACAAGGTTTAATTGATGTTGTCGCTGTTCTTGTGTGGCTTATTAGTTTCGTGTCAGCTTAGTGACAAGAATCAATGGAATTATGTGGATATATCATTTGGGGTCAACTAGAGCCACAACTGACATCACCGCATCTTCTTTTTACATTTTTACTTTTTAATCGATGAGTAATTCGAACAATCTCATTTCCCATGTTAACGGTTTTCATCGGCCAGAGCGAGTTCTTGGTATCCTTTTATCAGTCACATTATATCCTTTTAACCTATGTAGTATAAACACGCCAAATCAGCTGTCACTTTATTTAAATCCGATCATATTTTCCTCAACCACTACATCCAATCAACTTGTAGTTGGTAGTCCGATTGGTTTCGCTTAAGAGATCTATAGTCTGCTCCATATTAATTTGATTTTTCTGGAGGTGTTGAAACCCTATCTCGCTTCGAATTGGACATGCACAAAAGTGTAGAAAAGGTAATAGAGAAAAACATGAATTTTAAATAATTCCTAGATAAATCCAATTTAAACAAATCTATAATGAAATATTTTTGTAAACGCAGGAAAAGAAAGACAAAAATCCAGATAGCAACCCCATCGTTTTCACCATCCAGACTAGAGCTATTAAATGGCTCTGAATGGCACGCTCAACAAATATCCGCATTCGCATACGCGCGCACTTTGACGAAATGGATATCAGTCCATACTCGTACATATGTTGTTTTCGCTGTCGAAATTAATCTACAGCATAGAATCTACTAAGTGAATGGTATTCGAACCATTTGACTGTGATGCCATTTAGTCGACTTATGGACTTAAGTCCGCAGAGTGCAGGCAGAGTGGGTTGAACTTGTTCGCCAGGCTGCGTTGCGCACGGGGCGTATGCGCAACACCTTCGCTCTCCACCGACAGGCCTGTCTTGTAGCTATTATTTCCAGTCCTCAAATTTGCGAGCACATACATAATAAGTATTTTGAATATGTTTTCCAGCTCATTAAATACATCTAAATGACGATTGAGTAGCTCACTGGATAGTGAGGAGAGGTTTTCATAGGAGATCTAGATGTTTATTTTTAAATATGATTGGAACATTAACATTAATGCATATACCATGTATTGGTCTCGTTTCTTCCGCAGCCTGTTCGAGCAGGAGATTATGAGCTATGTTCCTATTGAAGAGCGCAGTCCGCAGGGCTCTCCGGTGCTCAGTTCGCGAATGCCACAGCGTGCTCCGCCGCCATTCCGGCGTGACTTCGAGGCCAAGCTGCGCTGTTTCTACCGCAAGTTGGAATCCAAAGGCTATGGACAAGGACCTCACAAGCTAAAGTGCGTAGAGCTAAGCTGCTTTTTAAATCAATTAACTAAATGTTCCCTCTTCTCCTCTACACATCGGCAGGCTTCATATACGTCGCAGCCATTTGTTGGAGGATGCCTTTCGCCGCATTATGTCGGCAAATAAGAAAGACTTGCAGCGTGGACGATTGGCCGTGCTTTGGGACACGGAAGAGGGTCTGGACTATGGCGGCCCCTCGCGCGAATTCTTCTTCCTGTTGTCCCGCGAGCTGTTCAATCCGTATTACGGACTGTTCGAGTACTCGGCCAATGACACGTACACCGTTCAGGTGTCGCCGCTGTCTGCCTTTGTGGATAACTGCCACGACTGGTTCCGGTTCAGTGGCCGGGTACTGGGGCTGGCACTGGTCCACCAGTATTTGCTGGACGCGTTCTTCACACGACCCTTTTACAAGGCCCTGTTGCGTCTGCCTGTGGCGCTCAGTGATCTCGAGTCGCTCGACAATGAGTTTCATCAGTCGCTGCAATGGATACGCGACAATGATATTGGCACGGGCATTGATTTGGGTCTAACGTTCTGCGTCACTGAGGAGCTGCTCGGCCGTGTGGTGGAGCGGGAGCTGAAGCCGGGTGGCAAGAATGTCATTGTGAATGAGAAGAACAAGAAGGAGTATTTGGAGCGCATGATCAAGTGGCGGCTAGAGCGTGGTGTGCAGGAGCAGACGGAATCTCTGGTGCGTGGTTTCTACGAGGTGGTCGATTCGCGCCTGGTCTCCGTTTTCGACGCCCGCGAGTTGGAGTTGGTGATAGCGGGTACGGCCGAAATTGATACGAACGACTGGCGCCTGAACACCGAATATCGTTCCGGCTACCACGACAACCATCAGGTGATCATTTGGTTCTGGCAGGTGATCGAGAAGTTTACCAATGAGCAGCGGCTGCGACTGCTGCAATTCGTCACCGGAACCTCAAGTATTCCGTATGAGGGCTTCTCGGCTCTGCGTGGCTCAACGGGCCCGCGTCGCTTCTGCATTGAGAAGTGGGGGAAGCCCAATGCCCTGCCTCGCGCACACACCTGCTTCAATCGCTTAGACCTGCCGCCCTATCCCACACCCGAACTGCTCTACGAGAAGTTGCTGCTCGCCGTCGAGGAAACCAACACGTTTGGCATTGAGTAGAGCGGAGGACTGAAAGCCGTTTGGGGAATCCCTGACTAGCGCCACCTAGTGTACGTATTCGATTCGTGATATTTATAGTTTTTTTTCTTTTTTGTTTGTTGCTGATGTTGCATTTGCAGCAATGTTGTTTCCATGCGCTTAATTTTTACAAGCATGCGTGTGCATGTCTATGATCCACAAATATACAGGCATAGACACGTGCATATGTATGCATTTTACATACATAGATAATTACCTACAATTATGCCTGTTAGTACTTCAATGCGTAATGCTTACAAAACCTTCTAATCTAAGCATTCATACTATGCCTACCTATGTACGTACATACTCCTATGTATGTATGTATGTATGTATGTATATGTAGTTAGTCGACATTTGCCGCTTTGGTTTGCCGTTAAACGTTAATTACCGTTACCTCAGAACAATGCAGTCATTAGTCTTAAGTTCAAATACACCATCACTAGCACTCGCACTATCCCAGCCACCCAGCTCCCGAAACTGACAAACTGAATGAGCTTTCAGCCAAACTAACTCATCAATGACATACTACACACTATATATGTATGTATGTAGTAGTCTGTATTGCTACCCTAACTTAATAGTTTAATAATAATAATAATAATAATAATAATAATAAAGAAAAACGATGCCAATTGTTGTTTATGGTACAACTGCCTAAAAGACGAATGGGGAGCACCATAACTTAACCTTAAAATCAAACGAACATACATACATACATATGTATGTATGCATGTATGTACATACATACCTTTATGTATTCTATTGTGTGTATGTACGAGTAGTATGCTGAAAAGGAAAAACTAAACTCAAATCAAATCAAAAGCAACAAGAAAACAAAATTTACAAACTTTTGCCACAAAGCTGACTGCTATGACACGCCACTTTGAGCGCCCGTAGTTTACTGATCTGAAACTCTCTTAGCATTCCAAAATAGTGCATAAAAGATAAGCAAAAAGCAGACCCTTAACTCTCCTCTACGCTGATACTTAAAATAGCAAGTAATTATATTATTATATTAGCATTAAACGCGATTAATAACGAATCCATTATATACGTATGTATGTACGTACGTTCATATGAGTGTATGTAAGTATTTACATATGTATATTAGATGTGTGCGATTCGCGGAGCATAGATTTATATTTATACATAATGTATTTCCAAAAGCATATGTACATGCATATATATACATATATAATTTATACAAATACTATATGTACTTACACATGAGTGTACTTATACACTCAAGAAAATAAATTCGATTTAGCCCAGCAATTTGCTGCAGAACGAATTTTGGTTAAGTGCGTTGCTTTGGCTTTAATTTGTTGGCGCATTCAAGCTTTGGATTAAGCATTTAAAGAATAAATGACAAATTTTAATGATTAGTGAAAACGACAACTAAGCAAATATAAGAAACCCCCCCAAAAAAGGTGATTTGTTTACATGTATTTTGAAATTAGTTAATGGAGTTATGCAGACGAACAAAGGAAAGAACGAAATGCTTTTTGAACTATTGTATGTATGTGTTTTAATAATAAAGATGATGAGACGTTTTATCGAATTATAAATGTGCGTGTGTGTGTTTATATTAACTGAACAAGTTAACGATACATTATTATTGAATAAATAAATGTGAGCCTTTTACTTCAAAAGCTACAGCGATTCATGTGTCATTCATTCAATATCAATAATGCCGGAAACAGTGATGATATTCAAAGAAATGGCCAAAAGAAAATGTTATGCTGCTATATGCCCGATGCTAGTATCAGAAGCTAGAAAAGTCGGAAAACCAAGGCTATGAAAATTAATAGCACTGTCGCTGCAGATGTTTCCTGCAGTAAGGAGCAAGCCGTTAAGTTCGTGAACAATTTGTGTTACCTTGAAAGTATGGTATCCACAAATGGAGCAGGGGAAGATGCGCAGAACAAGCTGCGCGAAGCCAGCAGCATTTGGAGAAGCTGAGAATCTTGAACGCATGTGTTAAGAAACTGTGTTAGAAACTCTTGTAAACAAATGCCTCTACATCATATTATGCATTTTCTGCCCGAACACCATAATCAACGAGGGACAATGGTGGCTGACCAAAGAAGAGGGTCTTCTAAAACAGATGAGATGTAGAAAGTGGCGGTGGATTGGAGTCCGCAGGAACATGGCCGGACATGACTTTCCATAGTTTTTGTCGAAGAAGGCGTATTTAAATAAAATTCAGATTTTAGGGTTTATGCACAAGGAAATTCTGTTGTTTATTTGTATTACGACTATTCATGTAAATAACTAACAACTACCAGCTACTCTTACAATCTAAAACCAGAACGAATTTATCCATACCATGGTCGACAAAAAAATAATGTTTATAAATGTAGTCACAACTAAGGATCGTTATCTTATGTGACAGATAAGACTAATCCACTCACATGGTATGCTGCCAAAACAATTGGTATTGGAAAAAGGATTTCGAGGTCTCCAGTACGCTGGTTCGAGAGTTTTATATGTAGTACCGTTTAGCCAATGGTTCAGTTTGGAATGAAAATGTTTGGGACTTTTTTAGGCGAAAAAATGCATGGTTGGAGGTTGGATCCATATTGTAGATGCAGGTGATTAATTTAGCTGTCACATGAGGAAATTCGCCTTAGAGTTACGTGTATCGTTAATGCGTAAATAAATAATATATTTGTGATCCTTAATCAATACAAACAGTTCATGTATATGTTTATGTGTATGCATATGAGCGTCCTTAGCACTAAGCAATGTTTTGAATTGAGCAAATAATACATTCAACGCAATTAAAATTGATATAGTAGAAAATAACAATAATATTAAAAAAAATATACAAAAATGTCACAAATGAGTATGAAAAAAAAATTGAATGAAAATTCAACATCACAAGCGGCAATCAAACTTAAAAAGAAGCAAGCACTTCAGGCCATTCAAATGAGTACATTTTCAGTTTAGTAATATCAATTAAGAAAATTTCTTCTTTCGTTCTTGATTCTAAATATTTTGAGTAACAACGCGCGGAATCAAATCATTATTATTTCTATAAATACTTTGACAATGTATGACGAGATTTTCATTCCCTAACCATTCATGAATACAAATCGAGTGGCTGCTGTTTGAAAAGGTTGCCCGTTTCCTCGACTGGTCAGACAAATAAACTGAGGCACACACTGAGGGGAAAATCGGAGGAGGGGAGCAGATGCAGCGGATGTGATGCGTCGCTAATCTTTCTCCTGGTTCTGCAGCAGCGCCGTAAACTCTTGGAATTTATGACGATAGTCTACGCTGCTCTCACTAATCACCGACAAATTGGAAGAAGGATCCTGCAAAGAAATGATAATACAAATTTATTGCGAATCGTAATAGGTAACCCTAATACCCAATTAGAATTGATTTCGTGAACGTCAACAACGATTAATTACTTCATTGCTGCGTTGATTGCTTAGAATATGATGAGACACTATAAAACAAACTTCTAAATATCAAGTTTGATTCAGATATCTTTATAAAGGCAAACAAATTATACCTTTATTATACCTAAAGTAATGAAACTAAATTAATTAAATAATTAACTTGCTATGCCTATGGATAAGGCAAGCCTACATTTCAAGTGTTATCGAGGATAAACAGACAGATGGACAACAATATATCGATCATATATGCACCTACAAATGGGTCTGCCACGTCTCCCTGTGTCTGTTACATAAATTTGTCGTTTGGACTTTCTAGTATACCCGCTTTGAGCCGAAGGGCAATGGGAACGGTTATATTTTTATGAATCTTACAACAAGCCAGCTGTTTAGCAACGCTGCTGTTCGTATTCGTGTATTTTCTTTGATTTTAAGAAGTTGTTCTATCTGGAAAGTTTGCTAAACCTACCAGTATATCGCGTGTGGCATCAATCTCATCCAGATGTCCCAACAAACTGGTCAACGAGAAGTCGTTAATGTTCTCCTCCAGCCAGCGTGCGTTCGACGTGGAGTCGCGCAGCAAATGCATGGGACTGACGCTGCCGGCATTGAAAAAGTTATGCGCTGCACCGAGAGGAAAAGAGATGGAAGAAAAGTCATAAGACGCTTTCAGTTTTCACTGCATTTGTGGTTTCATCTCACTTGTGGTCTCATCTTGTGAGCCTTCCGGAAACGAAGTGGCTTCCACACAAAAATCCAGGAGCGGCATATCCATCCTTTCTGAGTTGACATAAGTGCTTTTCTCCAGCTCCGATTTTGGCAAGCACCCGTGACTGGTAGCCGTCGAGCTGCTGCTGGTCGAGGTAGTTGTGGAAGACATGCTGCTGAGGGAGATGGGGCTAGTGGTACTAGTGGTTATGGTCGCACTGGCCTGTTCGATGGGCTCGAAGAAGCCATTCTGTAGATTGCCCACATTGAGCAGGTCGTAGGGCTGGGTGTCTGAGGCGGGTGGCAGGATGCGACGCTGCACGAGCACCTGGCGTGACATTTTCTGGCGAGTGAGCTGGGTGAGAGAAATTATTAAATTAAAGTGGCTTCATTTGTAATGAATTTTTAGATGCTATTAACATTATACTTTATGTCTCTAAAGTGCCCACAATAAAGAACTGTGGATATTTCTGACTTTTGTGTTATATATGTTACTTTAATCTGGGATCTGTGCTGTATAAAATCAAATATGTATATGAGAGGATTTGCGATGACTCACATAAACATAAACTGAATAGAAAGCTTCTTCTTGTGTGGTTTCCATTTTCCAATGATAGATTTGCTAACTTTTCTGTTGCCTACACATGTACATATTGAATTGCTTTGTACTCACCGAAGACAGTTGTCGCACTGGATCGATGCTGACAAAAGGTCGACGCATGGGTGGCATGGGTGTGCGAAAAACTGGGGATTCGATGCTTCCAACTTCGTGGGCACCCCCACCACTGGCGGCCAGCACTTTGGTGACCAGCTCCCGCTTCGATTTGGCCGCAATTCGTTCACAAGTGTGCCCACAGATGCACTGACGTTTGCGTACACGCTCGCTGAGATTGGCCACAAGCAGGAGGTGCTTCAGCTTGTTGCTCACCGTTGAGGTGGTCACAGCCTTAACGCGTTCCACGCTATCACAGTCGTGAAGATTATATGGCAGACCACTGCTGCTGCTTACACTAGTTGTCGACGTTGTGGTAGTGGTCATCACATCGCCCCAGTAATACTCGAGTTCCAGCTTGGAATCTTGGCCCAACACCACGTACAAGTCGCCGATGGTTATGTCCGCCGCATTGGACACGGTCCAGCCTTTTCGTATGCGTTTGATGACACCATCGCTTAGAAGAGGCTTGAAATTGTTGTGGGCGTTGCGTGCAGCCATGTTGGATCTCGACCCTTTACCACTGGCTGGTAGCTTCTGGCGTGGATGAGCGACAGTTGTGGTGGTACTGGTGCTACTGGCAGCGGTCGCTGTGGTGGTGGTTGTTGTCGCTGCCATTGCTGAGATTGTCACATTGGCTGCTAATCGATCAGCGGATTCGCCGATGGTGGAGTTTAGAAAATCGTTAATTTCCTCGCTGAGCTCATCGCCGCTACTGTTTTCTAGTTTTGTTGTGGTGGTGGTTGTATTGTTGTGGTTATTAGATATAACTGTTGCGGTGTCGGCGTTTTCGCTGTGTGGCTCCTCCTTAAGGTTGCTTATATCCTCGACAGACTTCTCAAAAGCGGGGCTACTGAGCGGTTTTAATTTTTTGGTGTCTGGCGAACGTTTCTCCGAGCCACTTTCCGTGCGTGGACGCTTGTTGTTGGCCGCATTGTTGGTGCGGTCCTGCGTTAGTGTTTCACTGCGCACCTTAACGCCCAAACGCTCCTCATAGGCTGTGAGGCAAATGTTCACACTGCTCAGATAGGCGGTAATGCTCAAGAGTGGGCGATGAATGGGTACGCCTGGCTTTGGCAGAAAGCACAGCTCAGGCTCGGGAAAGCTGTTGTTGGGCTCGGCATCTGCAGTGGGAAAGAGCTTTTCTTCCGATAATTTGGCGGCAGAGCTGCGCCATTTGTACTGAAAAGTTTTTATGAATGTGACAAGTTTCTTGTGGAGCGGCACAATGGCGCGTCCACGTGGATTTTGGGCCAGCGTTTGCACGCGACCAAAGGCCTCCATGTTATACGGAGTGACAAGAACTTCGATTTTCGCAGGCAGGCGTATGTCCTCCAAAGAATCTGCATGAGAAATATATGGAAAAAATAGTATAATTGCTAATGATTCGGTGGCGGCGGCTGTGTCTTACCATCGAGCTGATTGAGTCGTCGTAAGGCCTTGCACGATGGCGTCTTAATGCGTATGTTCTTGCCCTTGCAACGCACTGTTATTTGGCCTTGGTAGACCAGCTGCTTAAGCTTCATAAAATGCTTTTCGGTCAGAAACTGAAGCTTGCGTCGCATCTCTCCATAATTTATGAGTGTGTACAGCTCCTGCACAGGCTTCTTCAGCTCTGTAATTCGGTAAATAAATGAGTGTATTAGATGAAATACTTGTGGTGTTTGTGTCGCTGCCCTACCATCCGAATATCTAACATATTTGCAGATCTTGTGATATGTCTGATAATAGTGTTGACGCACTTGATCCTTGGTCTTGAAAGAGTAATCATTGGCAGCATTGCGGCGCTTCAACTTGGAATTGATGCAATTTGAGACGGCCTCGAAATCCTTTCCAAATTCGTTGAGTGCATCAAAAAAACAATTCCGCTCCAGATTTGTCCATATTGTTTTGTTGGTAGCACGCGGCTGTGAGGGCGTCTTTTGGGCTTGCTTCTCGTCCTTCTTGTTGTGGGCGTGCTCAGTTGGCGGCGGCGTCATGGGACGCGTCTGGTCCTGCTTCATTTTCTGAATAACGCGTGCGCTGGCCCTTGTGCCCGGACAATTGTGGGTGGTCACAGAGCCGAGCAGTTCCTCTGGCTCTTTAGATGCAGCCGCAGTCGCAGCCGATGCCGCTGCAGCCTGTGATGACATTACCGTGCTCGGCTTCGACTGGACGCCTTTGCTATTTGGTGTGTCTCCAGTATTCTGCGACTGCGATGCCACATCGGTTATCGCCACCGATGTCGCCGCTGCATTACCCAACTTTACGCTTTTACACATGCTGCTGGTGCTACTGCTGTTTTCATCCATTTCTGCCACGGCAAGGCACACAATGTCCTCCTAGAAACGGATAACAACATAAATAACAATTACAATTACAGGCTAATTAATAATTCCGTCTGGTTATCGATAGCTTGTAAATTGTGTGTGTGATGGCAATAGCAATTTTTTCTGCGACGCAAATGAAACTATTATAGTTACGGATTCAACATTTGCCTTGACTGTATAGTCCGCTAAATTAGCCGCCACCAGCAACTATCTAATGAATAATAACGAACCATCAACACACGCACACACAAAACTCATAAAAATTGCACATAAATTCTAGCAAAGATGGCGCTCGAAAACGGGTCAAGTTCCTTGTGTTCCTTGGCGGCAGCGCCGTCGCTGAATTATGCATTGGCAACACAGTTCTTAGAAGATTTGTTGGCGTGTGCTGCACTTACCTTAAATTGAAGGCATGGATATTGGCCAGCACATGCAATATATTCTGGGAAATATGTACTTTCGCTGTTCAGCTAGTTTTGTTGTGATCTGTAATTTGTTTCCCTTGGAGGAGCAATATTTGCCATTCTGTGCGAATGGCAAGTGTTGTTTTTATGAAGCCATTCGATAGTCACCGATAGGTTTTTCTCGATTGCCATTCGACGATTGTCATTCGACACTATGGTGAGTTTCGTTGCAGCAGTTAACGGCTTTTCAAATTGAGATAAAATGGACAAATTCAACGAAAAAAAATAAAACAGACACGTGGAATTTTATTGACTTGTCTTAAAAGTAGGCAAAAAAAAAAAAAATAGATTATTGCGTAGGTGCGCAGAGTCACATATCACAAATAAAGACCGACTAATACTAGGACTACCAATACGACTATGAGTATTGCAATGAGCATTATCTTTTTCTGCAATTAAATGGTAAAGTTAGTTGCGTTTGAGTGAGTTATTATTCCAGCAATTGCTCACCTTGCGCGCTTTTTTCTGATACTTTTCGGCCTGGTCGAGCTCCACGGCACCTTTATCCACATACAGTGTAGCTTGCTGTGCATGGAACTCCACACGTTGTATCGTCTCGCTCTGCTCCATAACGAGGGTTTGAATGCGCATGAACAATGCATGTACATCCTCTATGGATTTTTCCAGTTTTTTCAGCTCATTGAAACGATCCATGAGGTCGCGCAAAGTCTGACGCTCTTTTTCCGTCTCTTGCAGTATCTAAAGCCATTATAATTGCATTGTATTGTATTGCAGTTCAATGACCGATCGCTAAATGTAAGGAATATACTCACATTGTCCACAAAGAGCTTTGTTGTCTTGTTCTCAAGCAGTTGCTCAATTTCTTGTTCTGTAGCCTCGGCATTAACTGCAATAATAATAATCGGCAGAAGAAAAATACTTAAAATTTAACAACTTTCTCAACAGGCTTTATTGTTGTTGAACGATTTTGGAGCTGCACAATAAGCTGCACTTGAAATGTGCGGGCATTAACTTCGATTCGTAATGTCAAATGTAAAAGGCATCATTCTTTCCAATTTAAAGTTTTCTTTTCGTCTAAACAAATGTCTCTTTACAGTCCAATATTGTCCAATATCAAGTGAACAAAAACTTAAATGTTGATTTAAGAAAGCAGAAAACATTAGTTATGAACAACAGATATAATCGACCTATATGTGTATGTATACCCATTTCGATTTAGCGGCTAAAAGTTTTTTAACAAAAACGCGATAACTCTAAAAGGTCGTTGAACTCGATGCTCCGTAAATTTCAGTTTTTTTTTTCGAATAAGCTGATCGTTCGGCTAACTCTAGTTATTCAGATGAAACAAAAAGGTTAATCAGCTTACTTATTTTGGTATGCATGCGCAGATTCTTTTTCATCTTGAGTTCGTAGTGTTGCAAAAACTCCTCGTTCCTTTGCCACAGATTTATATAGGTCTGATAGAGGCCATAGAAGAGTGTGCGTTTCATGCGGGCCTCCAAACTGTAGTCGTTCTCGGGCGGCAGATTGGCCTTAAACTCTTTAAATCGATTCATTAGTATGTTGCCCAGTCGCAGGTTCTTATTATGCAGATCATCCATTTCGTTATCTGTAGAGAAAAGAGGACGCTTGTAAGTAATGGTGCTTATAGACGAAATAATACCTTGACTTGCCATTGAAAGTGCGCAGATTTATGGTTTGTGCCATCCGATTCATGGCCTCTAAATTGGCATCAATTTGTGACAGATGCAAACGAATTTCCGAGTACTGCAATGATTCATTGGAGTTAATAAAAATAAATTAAATGAAGAGTATATGATGGTGATTGGTGATGTTGATGAAAGTCTGAAGATACTCTTGGAGTTATTGGAATTATTTTCAACTTATTTTGAATGCGAGTGTTAGCCATACATTCCATTTCTGCTCTATACGGTCCCCTCCTTCTACTAACAAATGAACTCAATCTCTTCCCTAACTTCTAAATAGTCGCTTCTTCCCTTTCTACTGCATTTGTGTGGGCGTTGAAGGGGAAGAACCAGGCCTATGTGAAAGAAATCAATTTCATTGCAGTTCTACGACACTATCATATCACAAGACCCCACATGTATGCACATAGGAGTATATATGTATGTATATTGAACTGAACACGACTATTGTGTAATACTCCCCTCCCCCACTAGCGCTATTCGATCAAGCGGACGTCGAGTATGAATGTTGCTATTTGCCGGTTGATTCATGTGCGAAGCCAATGGGCTGATAAGCGAGCAAAACTTGTTATTAATTGTTTGTTCTGGAAAGCAACAAATTAAAGACAAAGAAAGAATGAGAAAAACATGTAGTTTAGATAATTCAAAAGGCAAAAATCTATTAAAATAGAAAGGAAAACCAGAAAACTACCGAAAATATCATTAAAAGCTATAATGCTTAGTCAGTGCTGTGGAGCGAATCAATATCTTTTAAACATTTTTTTGATTGTTTCTCTTCGAGATATCGAGCTTTTGATAGACATATGACTATTTCTCTAGCTGCTTTATTTGTGCATTCAAAATAGTTTTTTTTTTACTTTATAAACGTACTTTGTCCCAACAAATGTTGTTAAAAGCGTTTCACTTAAAATGTGCCCAAAGAAATATATAAGTGTCTAAAATATTTCGAGGAAGCCATGCTTGGAAATATTCATAAGGAGGAACTAAGAACTTGTCAGCTGTCGAAACTGCAGAATATTATGAGGCAGTGCCTAAAACTCCTACATAAATGCAAAATTTGCTTAAGACATCTGGATACGCCAAAAAGTTGATTTCTGCACCCATTGGTCCTCTGATATACGGGTAGTATAATAATTTTGACGAATTTCAGAATATTAAGAGGCACTACACAAAACTCATGGGTGCAACATTTTTAAAGTTGTCTTTATAAACAAAAATGTTATCTTTCATTTCTGCACCAGCCGGTTATATTATAAAACAATGATAATAAGCTTGCTGTGTATATATGTATAAAGATAGGACAAGTCTGCCTATCAAGTATGCAGTTCCTAGCTGTTATGGCTCAAAAGTTCTCGGTGTTCATACGGACAAACATGTTTTTATAAAAAGTTGAGCTTTATTTGACTGATAGAGTGGAAGAGACTTGGCAATACTGCCACTAACTGGTTGCCATATAAAGCGCTAAGTATAAACAAACCAATTAGCAATAAACAGCATAGAGAGCTTGGAAGGGTAGGTAGGAATAGTAAATCGTATTTGCATTGATCCGAACTCTTACCGGATTTAAGATGGCATCCACATTCGCGCCATGTTGTGTCATCTTGCTGCTCTCTTTTTCTTTATCCTTGCTCTTGTCCTCCGCCTTGCCGCCTTGATGGCTTGTGTGGTTGTTGTTGTTGTTGCCACTGTTGCTGGTATTGCTGTTGTTGTTGTTGTTGTACTCGACTGTAGAGTTATAAACGGACACCAAGAGCGAACCGTTCGACGAGGAGGATGTGGAATTGGCACTCAGCGATCGCTGCAATAGAAAAAGTGAGAAGATACGGATATATATTATATATACATATATGTATGTACGTAGCTCTGAGCTAGCATCCAAAATTGTGTAGCTCTGACATACTGTAGCTGCTAGATAGAAATCAGTGCAAGTCGTAGGCGAAAATTGGAGCATTCGCTAATGGTTCTTCAGCTCGTTTCATTGCGTGCGCGGCCTATTTTCTTGCACTCTTCCTCTCTCTCTCTGTCTCTCTCAATCAAAATCACGTATCGGAATGCGTCAATTCAGAATGTGTGAAAAGGTTCAGGTGATCGAGGCCCGAAGCTCGCGGCTAGCGCCCCCAGCAGATAAATGCGTTGTTGTGGAAGGTGTAACGAACAATAAAAAAGTAGCCTCAAAATGAGATTCACAGCCCACTGGACTGACTGGCCAGACGCACGCACACACATACACACAAACATATATACATAAATGCAGGCACACTCAGCACCCACACACACACACCCACGCCTTACCATTATCGGCGTTATCTGTGAAAATCTAGCTGTTGGCCAGCTCTGTGATAAAGCACAAACAAATTTGTGTGTGTTACCTCGTTAGCGCGCGGGCCTTGGCCCGGTAGAAATGATAATACATAATAATGGTAATAATGGTTCTCGTAACCGCGCACTGTGCTTCAAAACCGTTCCAATAGCCAATGAAAATCCATATTTATCTGAGGACAACTGTCTGATCATAACTAATTAATTACAATTGTACTTTAAGACTTTTCTATTTCCCAGAATGGTAAGATATTATTGCCAAAAGAAATATCTTTAAATAGAAAACTGTCGTATCTGAAAGCAGCCAAAATAATAATAAAATAATAAAAACGCTATAAGGAATCTTAAATTTCTGACAGTGAGAATTGGCTGGCATTTACTGTTAGCCTCCTATAATGGAAAGACATTGCGAAAAGAAATATCTTTAAAAAGAGAAATTAGCTGAAATAATGAAATAATAACAATACTTAGCCATTAATCTTAAATCGAGATCAGCTGCATATTTCTAAATCTCAAATTTCTAATAATCCTTAACCAGAATTTAAGACCTATGTCCCTAACTGGAGGGGCGTCTGATTTTAATCCTGTAAAATGGGCCCAACGGGATTTCCTGTGAAGCGACAAGAATATCAGCAGTATTTAATTGAGATCAGCAGCTGATTATACAAGTATAGAAATAAGTGGTGCTTTGCTGTACTCACAGTGTAGGAAGTTATGGCCATTTTTATGAACATGAACCTATTGTGTTGTGGTCCATATTCCGACGATCAGAGAACGGAGCAACATTTGCGTGAATTTTGTATGCCAGAATTGAAATCTAAGTTTTTTTTTTTTGCCATATTAGCCGAGTCAACATTTGATAATAAATAATCCCTTAGCTTTAATTGATATTTTCCTAGATAAATTATTTGGAAAATTTCTTGTAATATTCGTTCGGATATATATACTTGTATATATTTTATATAGAAACAGTAAGTCTATGCAGGTGCAGTTTTTATTTCCTAAGGCAACAGAGTGAAGAAGGAAATTTGCTAAAAAGAATTGGTCAAGGGTGAGTCTTGGTCCGGCCAAGAGAGTCTTCACTGCATCTGGCATTAGAAGGACCAGCTATTATTTGTTTATTTTTAACATCATTATTTTATTTCAAGCTTGGAGACCGACGCGATGTGGGCTTTTTTGCGATTTGAATTATTAATGGGACTTACCTGCAAGAGCTCGGGCAGTCTGTCTTTGGCCATTTCGTATGTTTGTGGCTTACGTTTTCTCTATTCAAGAAACTACGGTTATTTTGTTGTTGTTGTTGTTGTAGTGTAGCGGTAATGATTTGGCAGTGTGTTGTGGTTGTTATTGTTGCTGGTCAACGATTTGGTAACAATATTTAGCACTTTTTGTTGTCGCTGCTGTTGTTTTGCTCGTCGCTTGGCACACTTTACATTGTTTTTAATTCGAGAAATATTTTTAAACTCACACACACAGATACACATGCACACACAATACGTGCGACCGTTGTTTTGTTTTGTGTGCTTTTCTCTCCTTGCAGTGCCTGCGAATTTTGGTTTTTTTTTCTCTGTTACTCTCTTTGTTTTTGTATTTGTTTTGCCTGCAACTGAAACTGTGTGTTTTGTGTTTTCTTTCGATCCAATATATTTTTTTTGTAGTAATTTTTCTGCCCTTACTATTCCACAAGACAGCTGGTCGGTCTGAGCCACTGGCAGCGCAAAGTAGGAGCGACGTCAACGTCAACGTCGACGTCAGCGTTGGCGTTGACGTCGCGCCTACTTTTGATTGTGTGGGAAGATATGCCGCTGATAAGCGAGTGTGTTATCAATTATTGCTGCGCCCGTTGTGGCTGTGAATTATTTCCCCCAATGCGTTTGCGTGTGTGTGTGTGTGTGCGTATGTGTGCGAGAGACGCGTCTTATCTATTTTATTTGCACTTGGCTTTAGTGCGCGTCGTCGGCGTTGGCGTCGTCGTCAAACGGCGAGTTGAGTTCGAAAGCTTTGAGAGTTCAGTTCCATTTAATCATAATACTGGCCACTAAAATAACAAAGGCGGCGGTCATTCCTACACACACACCCATCTACATACATACATACATATGTGTATGTATGTATTTATTCAAGTATAGATTTTTGTTATATCATTCGCTCGACACCTCTGCCCGCTTGCGCGTCTGCTCAGAACTTTGATGTTTGACTAAATGCGGCGACTGTGGCAAAATAAATTCACTGAGCGCGCGAGGCAGGCCCAGATTTCTTTCAATTTAAAGATTAAGCACAAATACACACACACATCCACCCCTGTATGTACTTATACACAAATGTAGCGTATCTGTCGCGTATTTTTTTTTTAATTTTTAATTTCGCGCTTTTCGTGCTAGAAAAAAAAATGGAATGAGAAGAAAAAATTATTCAACCGGTTACGCGCGCTCTTTCTTAAAAATGTGTTAATTGTTTTTTACAAACTTTTCGCTCAGCTAAAAAACGTCTCGAGCTTATTGCAAGTCGCTGTTCAATTGAAAAAAAAGTGTAGAGCAGCAGCAAAAGCAGCGCAGTCGCTGCAGCCACTGTCGACGGCGACGGTGCCGCTGCCATCAGCAGGTCGTGCGTCGTCCGTCGTCATCGTCGACGTCTGCCTGCCTGCACGGTTATTGTTATTGTTGTTGCTGTTGCCGTTCCAAAAGTCACTGTGCTAATTAGTCGAACTCGTTATGCTCTCTTCTGCCCAGCGGGCATATTCGTGCAGTGCAGGTTTTTGAGAACGAGATTTGCAATTTTAGATAAATGCACCATATTCAAAAGTTCTAACAAAACAAGTGCTCCAGTTTCTGATTTCCAAAACCTATGTACCTGATTAATTGTTCGACTGAGTTAGTTATAGTTAGGGTTTTTTTTTTGGATTAGGTTTAAAAAGGGCCTACCACTTAATCAATAAATATGTGAATACAAAATATGTTTTTATCATAAACCACATATGCAAATTTGATCAAAATAATTATATATTTTTCTAACTATTTAACTAAACCAAACTATATAAATAAAAATCTTCTTAATTACCTACCTACTTATTAACCTATCTATCTTTCTATATAACTATCTATTATCTATATGCCTCTCTATGTATCTATCTATTCAAATCTGGCTATATATCTATCTATCTATTTATCTATATATCTATATATCTATATATCTATATATCTATATATCTATATATCTATATATCTATATATCTATATATCTATATATCTATATATCTATATATCTATATATCTATATATCTATATATCTATATATCTATATATCTATATATCTATGTATCTGTATATCTGTATATCTATATATCTATATATCTATATATCTATATATCTATATATCTATATATCTATATATCTATATATCTATATATCTATATATCTATATATCTATATATCTATATATCTATATATCTATATATCTATATATCTATATATCTATATATCTATATATCTATATATCTATGTATCTGTATATCTGTATATCTATATATCTATGTATCTTTATATCTATATATCTATATATCTATATATATATATATCTATATATCTATATATCTGTATATCTATATATCTATATATATATATATCTATATATCTATATATCTATATATCTATATTTATATATCCATATATACATTTACCTATCCATCTTTCCATTTAAATATGAGACGTACTTATAGTCTAAGCAATAGTTAGAAGCTCGAAATTCTAATCCATAGCTGATTAGAAAGTCCCCAACCCGAATAGCGGGTCCCGGCAGCTGTCATCCAAACATCATATGGCCGCTATTGAAACCAGAAAATTACATTTTCTCGTAATTTTTTCCCCCGCCTGATGCTAAAAACATAATGTGAAATTTTTTTAAAAAATAAATTTGTATTTTTTCAATTTTATTTTGCAAATGGTAGAGAGTATTTCACGGTCGTGTGCGTTTGCCATAAAAGAAAAGCTCGGTTCTATTGCTTTCTTGCCTCACTTATATTGTATGTATATTTGTAGCACGTATGTACACACATATATATAAATGCACTATAGGGGTTTGTGTTGCTGTTTCTTGCGGTTGCAAAACGACACTCGCCGGCCCGATTTCATTTGACATGTGGAATTGTAGAGAAACGGCAGTTAGAATTTCATACTCGAATTGCTGGCAAAAGTTGGCGCATTTCAATGCTTCGATTCCATGGTCAATAGGGTGATATATGTATGTATGTGTGCATGAGTGGGGTCATCATAAATACAGAGACTCGGGGTCGGAATGTGTATGATACTCGAAAACAATTTAAAGCTTCAAATACTCGTAAAAAGAGAGAATAAACAATTTTATTACAGCGTTAAATATTTTATTAAATATATCAAATGAAGGGGCCGCCTTTGTTGGCTACAAAAATAAAAATATGCCTATCTTGGTGCTCAGAAAATCAATTTCCATCACACTCCAGTCATCATTGCTGCAAATTGTTGGACTGGGCAAAGATTGTTGTGAGACGTTTTCTTTCTTTCTTTTTTTTTTACTAAAGTCGTCTCTAGCTCAGCTGCTTCGTCAGCTAGCTTTCAGTGAATTCTGAATAATGCGGGCCATATATATGATATCATCTGAGAGTAATAAATAATTAGTAATAAATAAAGTTTTTTGCAGCAATCATTCCTAGTATATGGTAATATATAAATATATATATATATATATATATATATATATATATATATATATATATATATGTTATATATATATATATGTTATATCATGAGATATTTCAGTCCTCGGGACAGGGTATGAAAAGAATAAACATACATTGTCGCGATGCAGGCTGAAACGTGTTCGAGAAAAACTAAACAAATTTTGAAGAATAAATATATAAGTCATAAATTAAATAATAAATATTTGAAGCACCCGCTGCGCGTGAATGTGAAGCACTCCAACGATTGTACATATATATTTATACATGTGTATGTGCTATGTGTGGATATGGATAGAGTACTTGTATGTATGTGTGATAATTGTTAATGCCGGGTCAGTGGGTAATAAAATTCGCAGCATAATTGTAAATAAATCTCTGAGGCGTGAGTGCGCGATCAAAATAAAAGGCGAAAAATGCAATTGCTGCTGATTTATGCGTTGTTGGTCACTTTGTGCCAAGCTCAGTATAAACATAGATATCTATGCATATGCTTGTATATGTGTGCTACAGTATTAGCTAGCGACATGGCACAGTGGCTCAGCATCAGTTTGCAGCGTTTTCAATTCTTCTGCACCCTTCCAAATAGGTAAAGTGCACAAAAAAAAAAAAAAAAAAAATGCAAGTGGTTTTGAAATATTTGCAATTTCTCCTGCAACTTAAACCACAACTGACCTAATCACAGATAATTTCTTGCCAGAAATTACAGGAATTCATTGCAGTCTCAGCGAATCTTTGTTGTTTTGTCAAGAAAGATCTTGCAACAAATAAATCAAGTATCTCAGCAGAAGAAAGTCTCTTTGTATAGTCCTTTGTCTACGATCTGACCAAGTTTACGTTTAACAGGTTTGCGCAACCTGCCATTCGAATCGTAAATGGCTTGTTGAACATGTGTTCGAGTCCATTCGGCAATTATTGACTGTCATTATAGTAATTGTTTATTACTTCCAAATGTTATCTGACAAACATTTTGCATTTTACAGACCAAGCTGTCCAAACTATTTACATTCTGGGCTAACGCTGACCCGCCACGATTTGCATTTCTACAACGCTGTATATAATTATACAAATAACCGTTTACATACAGCTCTCCACTGAAGAAAAGGTAAGTTCGTTTTCAACTTAAACACTGTTGGCATAATAGTTGAGAGGGCTCGACTGTTCAAGAATTTGCTTCTTTTAAGTACAAAATCCAAATTGAAGTACGTTTTTTACGCCAAAGGAAAGATCGGTTTCCAGCGATATCTAAATATTATAATACTTATATTGAAAATTCGGTGTCGTAGCAGAATTTCGTATTTGGAAGTCTTTTATAGTGCTCCACCATATAAAGATAGAAAAGATTTGTACAATGAAGTATTTATTTATTTATTCTCTCAAAAATAAATAAATGTAAATACACGTTTTTCTCCTAAGCTTTAGTACCAATAATAACAATAATACTTGTATAATTATATTCCATACAAACAAAACCGCTTTAATGCCACTTGGGTTGAATGTTGATTACAAAACAACGTGAGTTGACACTTTTCGCTGAGTGTAGCCCTCCTTCCGAACATCCAATTATCATTGCTAATTGGTTTAATAAAAACAAAAGCAACGCACTCAACTCCTTTATTAATATGCACACGGTGCTGGCATGATTTTTTGTTAAAAATTGTTTATTACTTTATTTTATAATTTTCATGTCCTGCGCCTTCCTCCACAATCTGCCATTTTTAGTTGCAAAATAATGCAACTATCGCAAAAAATAGGATTAAAACGAAGTTGTCATCTGGGCTTTACAAAATGGAATATAAAAATGCAGGCTTTCCAATCTATCGCGAGAATTGGAATATTAGACCGTTAGGAATCAATTTTTA